CCAATGTTTTCGCCAACATAACAAAACTATAACAAAAGAACAAAAGACGCGAAGACAAGTCTCGTGCGTGAGACGATGGGCTGACTCTTCAAAACCTTGATTGTTTCTCACATATTTCACCGAGGCTGGGTTTGGACATTCCTTGGCTCACCTACATACACATGAATGAGCGTGAGCGAAAGCCCAGTGATTAATATCAAATAAAGAAAGTACACAAATGAGATTCACATATATCAAACGGCCTTGGGCCCATTTAGTATTCTACTTCGTGTATTATTCAATACATTAGGCGATTCGAACCCGAACATATCAAACGGCCCCTGGCCCACTTTGTTCTTAAACAAATAGCATCAAGCCCAATTCATTCATGTATATCAAACGGCCTTTGGCCTAATCATTCATGTCCAACGGCCTCCGGCCCACACATTGGCCTATTCATTCACATCCAACAGCCTCTGGCCCATTCATTCATATCCAACGGCCTCTGGTTCATTTATGTCAAACGGCCTTCGGCCCAATCAATTGTATCCAACGGCCTTTGGCCCAACCATATGGCATGATAAACATTTGTCCACAATTTAAATCAACAAACTTATAAGACTTATAATAAGCAATTGGACAATTAACATACTTCAAAAGATCTTTATTAAGATATTACTCACCGTGTTCTGCCTTTGGAATCACCCTTGAGCTCGACCCTACACATTACATAACACATACGGGTCACAAATGATTCAATCCGTTTTTAACTCATACATCCCTCTTAGGCTTCTTTCTAATCCTTTTAATTCATTTATAATGCTCAATGCACGCCTAAGAGTACTTAAAAGTGAAGGAGAATGGAAAATGAAACACATAACACCTTTACAAATTTTCTGAAATAAGGCTCCCGGCTCGAGCGGACCCATTAAGTCTGCAAAAGTACTGGTTGCCTCATTTTTACTTTCGAGCGTGAATTCGGGCGCTCGAGCGTGAACTTCCCCACTCGAGCGGACATTCATGCCTACAAAAAGTTCTAGGAGCTCGTATTTCCCGCTCGAGCGGCGCTTTCCCCGCTCAAGCGGACATGCCAAATTCTGGAAAATCCAGAATTGTTCTTGAGGCTCAAACTTGATATTCAAAGGCTCCAAAGCTCGAATTAAGGTACCAAAAATAGGGAAACACATTATATATCATGAGTATACAACAATGTGAGGCCAATTGCTCAAAATCATGGTCCAATCTTCAAAATTAATCAACATTTCTTTTGTATAATCAAGGCTCATGCATTCAACCCTCATATAAGCTCCATATCTTCCATAATCAAACATGCATGTCAATTTTTGACTTCATTTCTATTTCAAATCATACAAATGACACTTATTATTATGAGACCCATGAAAATTATGCATGCATGTGAAGATTGGTCCCCAATTCTTCATATTCAACATTATTCATGCTAGCTTATGCAATTTCATGGCAATTTATGGTGATTCATAGTAATATCATGCATGCATGTGCATTCTAACTTCATATTCAACTCAATCTTTGCCATGAGCTATCATATCATACCCACTTAAATTCACAAAATTACATACTCAACTCATAAATTAAGAGTTGATTACTCACCTAGGAGCTTCAAATACTCAAGTTCTTTGAGTTAATCTTCAAGATTTCCAAGCTTCAAAATCAAAGCTTCAATCCTTCCACCCTCTCTCTCTCTCTAGAGAGCAAAATCTGATTTTAGCTCAAAACAAGTGAATGAGGGTGTAAATTGGCCCTTTATGAGCTCCTTCTCAAACATATTTATTTAATATTAAATAATTGAGCACTATATCATCAATTTAATCTAATTAATCTGATCCGAATCAATTTTCAATTAAATTTCACCGTAGGCTCTAAAAATTATGCCAATCACAATGGCGTAGTCAATTTCGATTTCTGTGGCTAATAAGGCCTTCAATTTAAATTCTAAAGCACATAATCAAACAGATTTTCCTACGGTAAACAGACAGAAATTCAAAACCACACATACTCATATAAATGGCACTCAAAATCATATCAAACACATAATCTTAATCCACCCTCTCTCTCACTAAATCCGGCCCTCTCTGTCTCTCTAGAGAGCAAAATCTGATTTTAGCTCAAAACAAGTGAATGAGGGTGTAAATTGGCCCTTTATGAGCTCCTTCTCAAACATATTTCTTTAATATTAAATAATTGAGCACTATATCATCAATTTAATCTAATTAATCTGATCCGAATCAATTTTCAATTAAATTTCACGGGCCCAATTCATATTTCTATCCAGTATATATATATATAGGTCAAGTGACTGTGGTTCTAAACACATCAAATGGCCTCGGGCCCAACTCATTCATATCCGGTGGCCTTTGGCCCAATCGTTCCTGTCCGACGACCTTTGGCCCAATCATCCGTGTCAAACGGCCTTTGGCCCATCCATTCGTATCAGATGGCCTTCGGCCCAATCATTCATTCATGTATGTCAGATGGTCTTCGGCCCATTCATTCTTCCATTTATGTCAGACGGCCTTCGGCCCATTCATTCTTTCATTTATGTCAGACGGCCTTCGGCCTATTCATTCTTTCATTTATGCCAGACGGCCTTCGGTCCAATCAATTGTATCCAACGGCCTTTGGCCTAATCAATTGTATTGCAAACATTTGTCCATGATTCAATTTAACAGACTTATAAGACTTATAGGGAAATAAGCAATTTGACAAATAACATACTTCAAAATATATTTACTAAGATATTACTCACAGTGTTCTGCCGGTGGATTTACCCTTGAGCTCGACCCTACACATTACATAACACATACGGGTCACAAATGATTCAATCCGTTTTTAACTCATACATCCCTCTTAGGCTTCTTTCTAATCCTTTTAATTCATTTATAATGCTCAATGCACGCCTAAGAGTACTTAAAAGTGAAGGAGAACGGAAAATGAAACACATAACACCTTTACAAATTTTCTGAAATAGGGCTCCCGGCTCGAGCGGACCCATTAGGTCTGCAAAAGTACTGGTTGCCTCATTTTTACTTTCGAGCGTGAATTCGGACGCTCGAGCTGAAAGTCACTCTACATAGCTCCCTGCTCGAGCGTGAACTTCTCCACTCGAGCGGACATTCATGCCTACAAAAAGTTCTGGGAGCTCGTATTTCCCGCTCGAGCGGCGCTTTCCCCTCTCAAGCGAACATGCCAAATTCTGGAAAATCCAGAATTGTTCTTGAGGCTCAAACTTGATATTCAAAGGCTCCAAAGCTCGAATTAAGGTACCAAAAATAGGGAAACACATTATATATCATGAGTATACAACAATGTGAGGCCAATTGCTCAAAATCATGGTCCAATCTTCAAAATTAATCAACATTTCTTTTGTATAATCAAGGCTCATGCATTCAACCCTCATATAAGCTCCATATCTTCCATAATCAAACATGCATGTCAATTTTTGACTTCATTTCTATTTCACATCATACAAATGACACTTATTATTATGAGACCCATGAAAATTATGCATGCATGTGAAGATTGGTACCCAATTCTTCATATTCAACATTATTCATGCTAGCTTATGCAATTTCATGGCAATTCATGGTGATTCATAGTAATATCATGCATGCATGTGCATTCTAACTTCATATTCAACTCAATCTTTGCCATGAGCTATCATATCATACCACTTAAATTCACAAAATTACATACTCAACTCATAAATTAAGAGTTGATTACTCACCTAGGAGCTTCAAATACTCAAGTTCTTTGAGTTAATCTTTAAGATTTCCAAGCTTCAAAATCAAAGCTTCAATCCTTCCACCCTCTCTCTAGAGAGCAAAATCTGATTTTAGCTCAAAACAAGTGAATGAGGGTGTAAATTGGCCCTTTATGAGCTCCTTCTCAAACATATTTATTTAATATTAAATAATTGAGCACTATATCATCAATTTAATCTAATTAATCTGATCCGAATCAATTTTCAATTAAATTTCACCGTCGGCTCTAAAAATTATGCCAATCACAATGGCGTAGTCAATTTCGGTTTCTGTGGCTAATAAGGCCTTCAATTTAAATTCTAAAGCACATAATCAAACAGATTTTTCTACGGTAAACAGACAGAAATTCAAAACCACACATACTCATATAAATGGCACTCAAAATCATATCAAACACATAATCTTAATCCACCCTCTCTCTCACTAAATCCGGCCCTCTCTCTCTCTCTAGAGAGCAAAATCTGATTTTAGCTCAAGACAAGTGAATGAGGGTGTAAATTGGCCCTTTATGAGCTCCTTCTCAAACATATTTCTTTAATATTAAATAATTGAGCACTATATCATCAATTTAATCTAATTAATCTGATCCGAATCAATTTTCAATTAAATTTCACCGTAGGCTCTAAAAATTATGCCAATCACAATGGCGTAGTCAATTTCGGTTTCTGTGGCCAATAAGGCCTTCAATTTAAATTCTAAAGCACATAATCAAACAGATTTTCCTATGGTAAACAGACAGAAATTCAAAACCACACATACTCATATAAATGGCACTCAAAATCATATCAAACACATAATCACGATCACAATTAAGATTAATTAGCATAATATGGACCAAGGTTATCACAACCATGAAGGTGAAGTCAATCTTATGTCTTATTTCGAAATGTTCTTTTATTCGCATTAGTTGATTAAGGTTAGATCTGTATACATACATATGTATATATCAAGACATACAACTCTATGAACAATAATGGTATCAAATGTGTCATTCTATATAATCCATTTGAACCATTGTTGTTGTTTTAGATTGTTCATATTATACTTCTGAATTAAATTTTAGTGTTTGGTCATCTAGAGAAACTGTCGTATGAGTGTTTTGTGATTTTTTTGGGGGGCATTTGATGAGGAAATAATAATATGACGCACCTGGTGAAGATTATATTGATATGCATCTTTATTAATGTTATTGTGGTTTTGATTTCCGTGTTTGTCTACCAGCTGTGCAGGATAGAGACCACAAATTCTTAACAAAAGCTGTTGAAGAAGCATATAAGGGGGTAGAATGTGGAGATGGAGGCCCATTTGGTGCAGTTGTTGTTCGTAATGATGAAGTTGTTGTGAGCTGTCACAACATGGTATTGAAAAACACTGATCCAACTGCACATGCTGAGGTTACAGCAATAAGAGAGGTTAGGATTTGAAATTGCTTAGTTGGCCTTATGTAATTTATCTGTTTACAACAAAGTTTCATGGTGCCTGGTTGTTTTAGGTGTTCTTCTTGTTGAACTTTGTTATTATGTTGTAGATATTTTGGTGATTTCTGATAGTGACTTGATATTTTTCAAGATATCCTTGGTTAGTTGAATGTTTACAAGATAAAATGTAATTATGCAGTTTAGTTCTAAAATTACCCCTTTGCATTCTATGCCACAAGGACCAAAAAAAAGGTCAAAAACTACACAAATCCAAGAATGAAGTTTCCTTGTCGAGTTATGCTGTGGAGATTTCTTGTATGAGATTGTTTACCACCTCGCTACTTGATAAGTTCCTATAGTAACTTTTTTGTATCTGGGTTGAGGCTACATAAGAAACTTTTTTAGTTATAACATTCACTTGCTCTTGCTTTATGGTGGTTCTTGCCCATTCTCATATGTGACAACTGGAACTATGGTATAATCATTATTATTTTTTGAGGATCAAAATTTCTTTTCATTTTGTTGTTTTGATTAGCATGGAAATGGAAAATATTTCTAAAATGTTTTGGAATCGTTAAATGGACCAAACCAAATCAAACCAAGCTAAGCCTTATGTCCCAATCAAGTGGGGTCGGCTACAAGGGCTTTATGCTCAATAAAATAAAATAAAAAATCCATATCCTTTTTTACTATCTCAAACAATTGTTAATCACTGAATCAATTTTATTAAACATAATTGTAAATGATTCTAAAAGTGAGTTCACAACAAAATGAGGTCTAAAAATTTACTTAAGGCAGTAGTAATAATAGTATTACTATATATCTTATGTGGGTTTCTCATACATAATAAGGTTTACCTTCTTCGTCATTGTGAAATTGTTTTTATCCACTGGTTTTGGGAGTCTAATATAGTTCTGATTCCTATCTCTATATTCGTCAATATCAGCATATATTCATAGCTTTTTTAGGTGGGGCAAAAAGAAATGGACAGATAGTAATATGTGGCTAACTTTTGTTGGTATACAATTTACAGACCCTTTGCTTTGTTTGTTTCTTGAGGTCGGTCTTTTGGTTTGGTTGTGGTTCAATTGTGTTGGTTTTTGCATTTTCATTTTGATAGGTTTGACACAAGTCTTTTAAGTGTTTAAAAAAGGTTTAATCATAGAAGAAACATCTGTTGAAGATATTTTGAGTAAAGAAGTATGGTTTGGAATCAAATAAGATGGTCTTGCAAAGGTTACACCGTTGAACGTGAGCATTGGATCTATCAAAGTTTTATGAAAGCATTCTTTATCGTCATTTGTGAATTTTGTCATCTCAACACTAGATATTTGAAGTTGGCTGGTTTTGCTTATTGGCATGACGTTAAAGAAAAGCTATTGGAATAGAATTCTAGGTGATTTTGGTTGGCCTAAGAAGTTTGATGTGGGTTAGCGGATAGAGATTTGTGCCTGAGATTTCTCAAAACCATTAGATTTAGCTTAGCTTTGAAGAAGTTGAATCTAGGTTTTATCGGGCATAGCATAAGAAATGGCTCAAACATTTTCGATTTCCTCTTATCCATGGCACATGTTGTGGCTTTTGTACCCTAGCGGACTAACTTCCATTCAGAGACGGCAAATCATAAAGTAGTAGCACACATGCATTGTAAGCAATTCACTGATTAGTGACTAATATATTTTATGAAAAATATAGATCTGTTTTGCTTGCTCTATTTTCAATTGCATAAAATTGGAAAACATGCTCAATAAGTGTTATTGTTATGTGAATATTAATATCGTGTTTTATTCTACATCTCGTATTTGGCAGCGTATGCCTGAAATTTGTAGAATATCAAAATTATAAGGGTTAATTGCACTTTACCCCCTTAACTATTATGGAATATCACCTTACACTCTCAATTTCAAAACTGTACAATTTGACCCCTCAACTATCAAAAACTGTACAAGACCCCCCTTCTGGAGGGGTTAAAAGTGAAACAATTTTAATAGTTGACAGGTCTAAATTAAAGCTGAGGGGGGGTATGGTGATATTGAGTGATACACAAATGAGTCAAACACTAAGGCGACAAACCTTTTTTTCTCTCCAGAATCAATGAACAATGGTCACATGACTCCTAGAAAGTTGAAAATTAATACATAGGCTAGAGCTATTTTTTTAAATGGATGCAATTTCATCATGTAAATTGGATTCTCTTCATATTCTCATTTTACACAAAGTAAGACTCTGCGATGCTTGCTAATTCATAGTACAGAAACTGGTGGCTTTTCTGGTTTCCTTTTAATTTATTCTGTTTGAAGGCTACCTTCTAATATGTATCTCAACAAGCTGGCAGTTTTAGGGACGGTATGAATCGAGGAATTAGATTTAGGGTGTTGCAATAGTAGAGAAAACTAATCAATTTTGGTATGACGCAAGCTTTGTTTGTCTTTGTTTTGTTATTGTGGTTCTATTCAAATGAAGAAACTTTCAAATATCAGAATCATATTTTAATGACAACGCATTATGCTCATATCCTAAAAAACGTATACCTTAGTTTACTATTGCAGTACTCGTTGAAACGTAGTTGTAGATATCTGATCTTTTGCACTTTTGACGTTTTGGTTATATTTCAGGCATGTAAAAAGCTCAATCAAATTGAGCTCTCCGACTGTGAAATATATGCCTCTTGCGAGCCCTGCCCAATGTGCTTTGGCGCTATCCATCTTTCAAGAATAAAGGTCCAATTATCCTTGTCTGCCTTTTTCCCCCTCACCCTTTTCTATTGTAGTTCTGCTATGAACATAGAAAGGAACACAGAATAAATATAAATGGACATGATTTTACACACAAAAAAAAATAGTATGGCTCACTTCTGCAAAAAATTTGCCCATCCATATACATTTTGTGTCCAATTCTATGAGCGGTTTTTGTGTTGTTAGACTTGTTCTTTCTATTGTATATAATATATGCGTGCATGTGTATATTATATGGGTTGCTTATTGCTTTTTTTAATTTAAGAGTCTGTACCAGAATATTTTGTACATGTTCTGCTTATAACTTATTAAGTTGAAATAGCTTAAATAAAGCTAGAAAAGGTTATTATTGGGAAATTAGAGGAGGGATGTTTTTAACTTTTACTTTTTGATTATCAATTTTCAATTTACAAAAAGTTGCACTAAACAAGCGCTTTATCTAATAACTGAACGGAGCAAGGGTCATTGGTGCAGTGAAAAAGCACCAAACCCTTAGCTCCAAGCTCAATGCCTGGGTTCAAGCCTTGGGATCCCCTTCCCCTATCCCCGACCCAAAAAAAACAAAAACAAAAAGAAAGAAAAAGAGACAGTAATTGGAACATTGCGTGTTTCAGTAATTTTCTTTGTGCCTCACGTATTGCTCTTCGGTGCAGAGGTTGGTTTATGGAGCCAAAGCTGAAGCAGCCATATCTATCGGATTTGATGATTTTATAGCGGATGCATTAAGGGGTACCGGGTTTTATCAGAAGGCTCATTTGGAGATCAAAAGAGCTGACGGTAATGGAGCCGTGATTGCCGAGCAAGTATTTGAGAAAACAAAAGCCAAGTTCCCCATGTATTAATTAATCCCATATCTAACTCTTAACCAAATTATTGCGGAACTGTCAAGTTTGCCTTTGTATTATTATTCCATCAGTGCTTTTGCATAGGACAAAACTGAAACTATTCGTTCTGGTGAAATGTGGATCCGTTATGTCACATTGTATTCGACTTCCATTTTTACATCTTTTTAAGTGTGACATATGTGACATGATTTGGAAGGTTATGTCAGCTGGCTTTATCAAGTGTTAATTTAATGGCTAGTTTGAAATTGTGATTTTTTTATGTTTGTATCCATATTTTTATCTTTGAACGTGTTTAACAAGCTTTTATACATTTGAGTTTTTCATAGAATAATGTTATATGTACCAATTAATATACCAACTACTGTACCCATTGATGATGTGATATAATTTAAGAGATTTTTAAAATTTGTAATGTGATTACTAAGTATAGTCAATAATAATGTCATAACTAGTGTTGATACACTAGTTAATATACTAATTGCTGCATGTAGCACCACCGTTTTCCATAACCAGAAGCAGAAGATAACTTGGATTAATAAGATGGAGAAATGAGTGGAGGAAACTGTTGATATCTCTGTCCGGACAAGTTTTTTTTCCTGGGACAAAAATGAAAGTGAATCCTTAATCTTTACTGAGGGAGAAGATCAAATGATTCATGGATCACCGATCTGTTACTCAGGCTATGTTTGGTTACCATGAAAAAAAAAAAAACAAAACACACGTGAAAAGATCATAACTCTGATTTTGTTTTTTTCTCCCTTCAAATTTTACTTGAAAAAGATTCCCTATTTTAGGGAGTCAGATTTTCAACTACTCTCTAATAATGCTCCATATTCCTTCTTTATTTTATTTAAATATTATTTTATTAGAGAGAGTTGGAGAGAAATTAGTTTTACAATTTTTTGAGATGGTGATACCGTAAAGAGAGATTGTTAGAGATCATTTGACTTCTAAATTTTCAACCCAATGAAGTAGTAAAATTGAGAATAAGAGAATTGTTAAAAGTTACCATGCCAATCTTAGAATTGAAATAAAAAGTTTAAAATGTTGCGATTTTAAGTTCCCAATTGTGCACTTTGCTTTCGGAGGTACTACACAATTCAACTCAAATTCTTCATTTTATGTCCGTAACTTTAGTTTATACGCTGGTTTGGTCCTCCGGCTATAATCTATTTCTCTGATAAACAAATAAAAATTAAAATCACGATAAACAAAGAAAAAAAAATGGTGCATCCCAACAGTCTCTGTCTTGTAACTCTCTTCTCTCTTTAACCAGACACTGGGAAAAAAAATTACAAAAAAGAGATTTCTAAGGATTATCAGCCGGTTTTCTTGGGCACTGTTTCTAGAGTAAATAACAGTTACATGTAAATCAGCAAACATGAGAAAAAACCACAAGCGCCACAAGAGATGACATAAAGACAATGTCTACGGAACAAATTAATCACGTTAAAAGGAACAAACATGGATCTTGTCAATCTTCTTCCTCGGACGCTTCATTCAACCACTGCACCAAAAATCCATAGATGAATTTGCAAATGTTACAATAAGACAAGCTTGATATAGCAAACTTATTGTACTACTTAAGAAAAACAAATAAAAGAGCATAATCATAGAGTAACTAGATTCTACGGCTTTGATTTCCCCAGTTAAATGTATGTTTATTTTCTGTTATTATATGCAAGAAAATAAAGCAATACATAAATAATTTAAAATGAAAAATAAAAATAAAAGACAAAACGGCTTACTTGGATGAATTTTTCTGACTGCTTCAGAAAAACTTTATCAGATTCGTCTGCACCTTCTTTTTCAGTGGCCCAATTATGAATAGCATCTTCTTGTAAAATGTCTTTGTCGTACAAAAGATGCAAAACCTAATGATGGCCAAAACAATCAAGGAAAAAGATGAACTAAAAGACTGACAAATCACTTCTTGTTTGTTTTATAACTTTGGATAGAAAATGAACGATAGGAAACAACTCTCTCTCTCTCTCTCTCTCTCTCTCTCACACACACACACACACACACACACACACACACACACACACAAAAGCTGTTACAATTTATAAGGGGCATGGAGTTGCCCACTATCTTGTCACCATTGCAGCTGACAACCACCATCATTGGTTACCATCATAATGGGAGTTTAGATTTTAGCGAAAATTTACCAAATTAATAAAAGAATCTAGACTGGATGAGTTTAGATTTTAGCGAAAATTTACCAAATTAATAAAAGAATCTAGACTGGATGCACAAATACATTTTTATAGGAAAAAATATTCTGCAAAGACCATAGTTGTTGGCCCCTAATTGAGCATTAAGCTTATTTGATAGGCATCCTGTTTTGATAGGATTCACTATTATAAAAACTATAGGACCTAGGGTTACTTATAGGAGTTTTATTGGAAAGTACTACAAATGAGGTTAAAAAATAAAAAATAATAACACCTTGCTTGTTTCCACTTTTCATAAAACACTTTTCAGAAAATTCTACTTTCTTATTTTCCGTGTTTTTTTTGTCTTTATTGAATTTTTGTAATATTTTACGCAATATTTTTACTTTTTAGACACACCTAACATAAATACACCTAAAAAGTAAAAAAATTGTAAAAAAAAATCTTTTAAAAATTCACTAAATATCAAAAATACAAAAAAAATATAAGAATTCAGTACATTTTTTGTATTTTTATGTATTTATTAATTTTTTAAAATATTTTTTCACAATTTTTTTACTTTTTAGATACATCTAAGTAAGGTCCATTTAAAAAAGTAAAAAAATATTTAAAATTTAAAAAATATTCACTAAAAACAAAAAAAAAAAACACGAAAACCAAAAAAGTCAGTTTTCAAAAAACTTAATCCAGAAAACTCAAACCAAACACACTAGTAGTTGTAAGTAAATAAAATTTGCAATTTTTACAAATGAGAGGAATTCCAGGTATTGTAGGATCATGTTTGTTAATTACGACAATGCATTTACAAAATAATCTAATGCTCAAGGCACAAAGCATTTGCATAGATAATGACAATTCCATGAAAGCTTACCTGTACAAATATTGAAGAAAATTCCTTAGCAGATTCCAAGCACATTTCTTCGAATTTCAATATGACTTCAATCTGCAATTATCCCAGAAGTAGATTATTACATGAACTTCTGTGGAAAGTATTAGTTAGACATCATAACTAAGGCACTAACATATAGCATCATTGAACAAGTGTCCAAGTTTTTACTCATAAAAAAATAATGCAAATATTATTCTCCATTAATAAGCCAAATCTAAAGCTTCAGTATGATGTCCAACATAAATCAAAGTTGAGCTCTATTTGAGAATTAGAACACAAAGCAACATACTAATTGGGTAATTTGCTAACAGGCCATGACCACAAAGGCCTTAATTTTTTAGTCCAAGTGAGATTTAAGCTTGTCTGTTAAATCCGCCTGAACAAACCACTTGACAAGTTGAACACAAGATACTTTTCAAGCAATTCAGTTATTTTCAACCCATTAAATGAAGATGCAATCATGCATTCACACATGCAGTTTAAATATGCAATACTCAAATTCCGCTGAAGGAAAACTTCAAAAACAACACCATTAGAAACAAATCAGTTGGCCTCAACACGCAAATTGCAATACTATTTTGTATACATCTGGATTTTGGAACACAATTGTAGGCCTGAATGCTTTAGCACCAAAATGTTTTCTAAGCATCACCAACCTATTGCTAGCCTACACAACAATGATATAGCGAAACACTCATGTCCCGGCCATACAAGTTGTCTTAACCCTTTGCTTCCAAAAAAGTCAAACAACGTATGGCCATTGAGACATTGACAGAAATGCAAGGGTCTACACTCTACTCAGCTACAAGTTTTTGTTTTTCGATAAATACTTTACACAGTTACAAGTTGGCCATGAGTTACCATTACTTCTACTTTGTTTATTACATATGTGCCTACTTCAACCTTTATTTTTAATCTTAGGCCTTCTATTTATTTTCTTTAGACTTAAGCCAAAACCCTAGATGTGTTTCACATATCTAAACATCAGACGTGAGCCCCCGTGTCCAAAGTGGGTCCAATTTTAAACTAAATTTAAAAATAATAGGACAAATTTGGATGTGTGCACGACACATGTTGGTGCATGTCCAACATCTGTGTACCGGGTTAGCGAAATAAGTATCTAGTACATTTTGAATGTTGGGTAAGGCTTGGGTATAGGATGGGTACATTTTGGGTACGAGATGGGTGCATTTCAGGTACTTTGTGAGTACATCGGGATATAAATGTAACTTCTTTTTTTTTAAATAGTAGTATTGGAACAACTATATTGTGCCTATTTTTTATAAACTTATTAAAAATAGTGCATTTTTGCAATTATCAAAAATTTTAAAAATACTTAGGGTTCTTTTTTGGCTGCTTCTTCTCTTCGACACTCCCTCTCTCTATCTTTGGTTTTTTCAACAGAACCCTCTCTCTCATAGAGTATCTATATTCATATTTGTTTTTACCCTCTGTCTATGGTTCTCTGTTTTTCTAGTTGTTAATTATCTTTTGCATTTGATTTTCTAATTGTAATATATCATGTAACAAATTATTTTTTGAAAAAAATTATGGCTATACCCCGACCATACCCAAGTTGTATTTTTTTTAGGTTTTTCCATATCGGCATTACCCTTACCCGCACCTGTGTTTCCTAATCTCTCAGACACAAACACAACTTAGTAGGCGTGTCCATGCCACCTAGGTTACAAGAGATGAGAGCAACATTTGACAGTAAGGACACTAAAGAGGTGGAACCTTTTGTAGATGATGAAGGAGGGAATGGTGATCAATAGCATTTATAATCTGGGGAACAAAGAATATTTGGCAGAAAGTTCGACACTATTTTGATAAGCAAGAAGTTTAATACTTTTTGCAACCAATAATATGATATTTGACGAGAAAAAAATCTTTTTATTTCATCAATTGTAAGTACGAAATTCGATGTCTGAATTTATAAATAAATGGAGTAGTGAAGTCCTTTTTTCCATTTCATCAATTATTGGACATTCACAATATTACGATTGAGCATTAAGAATGTGAATCAATAATAAAATTTGAAAGCAACATTGTTTTGTTCTCCTAACAAAAGGTTCACAAGGTAAAATCGTAAGGAATACAATAAAATGAAAAAGTATGTGCATGAGAAGCTTATAATGCTAGGGGACTTCTAAATAATTATCCTAATTGCCAAGTTTTAGTAACCATAGGAATGGATACAACAAGTCAAAAAGTGCCAAGATGATCAACAAATACGAACCTCCTCATCTAGGCTTGGCAAGTAATACTTTAGAAGCTTTTGCCATGTGCCAATTACATTTGTAGCATTCCCAAGCAATTCACCTGTGGGAAAGCATAAAAAAGAACAATTATATAAATGGTGATAGTTATACACATGAAGTGAAGACAAGACACCAGACTTGAAAATCACGGGTGTGTTTGATTTGTGTTTTGAGATAAATTTTCAAAAAAAAAAATTGCAGAGAGAGTTTAGAAACTTTTTTGGTTTGTTTGGATATATTTTGAAAATAGTTTTGAAGTTTGGGTGTTTGGGATGATTCGATATTTTGTTGTAGTTGAGTCGATGTGTGTGAGAGAAAAACTGATTGAGAAGGACAAATGAGAGCGAAAAAGTGATTGATTGATGTGCAGGAGAGAGAGAGAGAGAGTGATTTTGGAAAAAATTTCAAAAAATTTGAACCAAACAAAATTTTAAAAAAAATTCTCAAAAATTGTATCTTAAAACCAAACAAGCCCCACATCTTCCCGTTCATAGCACAAACTATTTTCTCTCATACAATTTTCAGCAAAAGAAAATGATGTAGCTGAAGGAATCTACAAGAGATGAGAAAGAAATAAATGTGTAAAACTACTTACTAGTTGAACTGTGTGGAGTCTCCAATGCCAATTTCATCATTGAATAGAATAGTGCACTGGCACAGTCCACAGAAGTCTTATTGTATGACAACCTGATCCATAGGATAAGCAAAGAATGACATGGTAGGATATTGATGAACAATAGAGACTCACTAAATGCATATGTAAGCATTATTATCAATAACAAAAAACAGACTAGTTCAGTAAACTGGAAAAGAGATTGGATGCATCAACAGTTTGACATTACCAGTTTGATAAAAGGCAAAGTATTTTTTTACTTAACATAGTCAAGCTAAGACAAGCAAAAATAGTTTCATATGGATTGATCAAGAGCATGAAGACCAGCAGCTGGACCAATAAGAAGAAATGATTTGATTCAAGTTGAAGCAAGAAGACAAGAGGAAGGTTAAGGCAAGAGAAAAAAAAAAGAAAAGAAAAGAAAAGAAAGAAACAGATGCAACCTACAAAGAAATACATGATACCCGTTACACTTGATCGCCCCTGTTACACTGGTCAATACCACGATTTAGAACGATGCTTGCAAAAATGAATTTTTACTATTGGAAGTAACAAAAAGGGGTAAAATTGCCTTTACATAGTCAATGCATCATGCATGTGTAACTATTCATATGTTTTTCCAATACATTTTATGAACTCTGAGAATGTGACATTTAGTAAATACGTAATTACCTATTCCTATATTTATTAATATGAATGGTCTTGGAAGAAAATTACTTTTTGTTAATATTAAATTTGATCTAAAAGAAATTAGGGACCAGCTATGTCTTTGGTAAGCATCTCTAGTTCAAACGAGTTCAGACAAAGACAGCCAAAAATAGACACAAATTTACAGTTAAATAAAAAGTTGCCTCATGCTTGACCAGCCCCAGTTTCTTTGACTTACAATATAAACAGGCATCCCATAATTCAAACAAGTTAACTGAGAGTTTATCAGAGTTTGAAGCTTAAAGGAATAAGACAGGCCAGATAAGTCACCAGTTTAGCAGTACATAAGGTAGGCCACTACAGGTCTGAAAGCACTTGCTTATAATCTACTCTGCTCTATGGTAATTGTACAGATTTACCATAGATAGATGATGACACTCCAAAAATTATTTCCCAGATGTGTGCTCCTTTAATCTCCGACAAAGTCAACCATCTTAAAAACTGTGAAAATGTATGTGACCCATCCTACTGTCTGACTCCTCCCGGCAAAATTTGGTTTCAACCTTTCCTGATCCCATTAATCCAGGGTCACCTGGATTTATTTACAAGAACGGGACAAAATCCTCCTAGCAGTCTGTGTTTACTACTCTTATCACTTCGTTGCCTTTTACTTTCTAGTTCTAGGTACAGGGATACTTCAATTTAATTTGCTAAATTATCTTGATTGTGGAAACAACAAAAGATGAATACATAATGCTTGTTTTATAAGAACAATATTGAATGGTTGAGGATAGATGAATGCATCATGTTCAGAGGGCAGAAGAGAAATTCACATGAGAGAGAGAGAGAGAGATGTTTCCATTTGCTGCTTGTGGACTTTAAGGGAGAAAATGAAGAAAGGGAACCAAAAAAGGAAATAGGTAACTAAAGACAATGAAAATTATTGATGTAAAAGGTCCAAGTAGTACCAAACCAAGCCAAGCCTTAAGTCCCATCAAATGGGGTCGGCTACATAAATCCTTCTTCTCCACGCAGCTCTATCAAAGGCCATTTCGTTAGTTAAATTAAATAGATCTATATCTCTATTTACAACGCTAGCCAACGTTAATCTAGCCCCTACCCGGTCCCCTAACACTTCCATCTACCGTCACTGCATCGTATTTCTTCACTACTACCTCTGTTGGTCTCCGTTGAATATGACTAAACAATCTCAATCAATTCTCTCTCAACTTATCTTCTATCGGTACTACTCCTACCCATTTCCTAATACTCTCATTCCTAATTTTGTCTTGTCTTGTCTTGTTTAGTCTTACCACACATCTACCTTAGCATCCTCATCTCAGCAACACTCATCTTTCTTATATATTGTGTTTCTTGGTTGCCCAACACTCCGTCCCAAACAAAATCGTTGGTGTAATAGCCGTTCTATAGAACTCACCTTTTACCAGGCGACTATATCACAAGAACACACACATACATGTGATGTGAGCACCCCTGTACAGCCCAGGTATGTGATAGCCCAGTTTAGTTTAACGTAAAAATTGAATATTACATACCGCAGTGAGTTAACTTCTAATACAACATGTTCTTCTGTAATGTTTTCTTGAACAGCCCTCAAAAAAGTTGCTTCAACCTACAAACAAAAATAGAGAAATGAAAGTTTAATTCAAACATAAGGTGTATCCATCATCAGCATTATAATCAACCCATACCTCCTTTTCAAAGTATATATAGTCATCTCTCATGTCCTCAATATTATCTTCAGAACCAATACTGTTAGAGTCAGGTTGCAGCTCTCCTGAAGGAGGTAAAAGATTACCATCTTGAGCTGACATCTCGACGTCATCATTTGCAGCTTGTATAATCTCAGCAAGTTTATCGGCAGGAATGGGTGCAACAGAATGTCTCAATTCTTCTTCATAGCCTCCTTCACCAACGGACCATATGAAACCAACTCCACCAGCACCAACCTGATTAATTATTAGGGACTGGTGTTAGAAAATAAAATTATACACCGAGTTGTGCCCTCAATCACATGTCAGGTCAGGAGTAGTATGGCCAGATCTATCAGGATTTTATTTTACTACCAAAGAGATAATAGATTGGACATAAAAGATGTCACAGACTCACAACTCAGGAAGCTCACCATAAAGTGAATACTTTTTAGCGAATAAACTGTAATGAATGGACAATATTCACCTTTGTTTATGAACTTACGCTAGGTATTTTTGGTTCTTCTAATAGATTAATCATTTTGGTTGCCTCAACGACAATGAAATTGGAAGCATAATACTAAAAACACACATTAAAAATTTGATATTCAAATATGAATTAAGTTAATGTTTATATCAAATTTAACTTACGAGGCAGATGTGTCATAAAGTGGAGGTGACTTTCAAGATGAGGCAATGTCTTTTGGAGTTTGAAGATTGACTATAATTAAGATATATCAAGAAAAATCTAGGTATAAAAGAATCTAAAATGTGGTATATATAAATACATGTTCATCCAAAATCTGGGTCTAGAGCAGCCGTTTTTTCCTTCATCGGGCAACACTAGGCTCTTCACTTCATCAGTAACATTGCTTAAACAGACAATAAGAATGGACCCACACAAGTCTTTTGCAAAAGAAAAATAAGAGCCTTTGCAATCTTTGTAATTTCTCTATTATCTACTGGAAGTTTGGCCTATTTTCTGCACCACTTTGCGCAATTCTAATTCCTATATATATGAATTTCAATAAGAATACCTCACTAATTCAAATCATGCACAAATGCATTGAAGTTGTCACAGCAATGAAAGATACAGAAATCGGCACATTTTGCAGGATATAAGCTAGAGGACAAGAGGATTAAGAACAATGAAAGCCAAGGAAAAGTAACCTCAGATGTCGCCCACCGCTGTGTCTCAGATAATTCAGATGTTAGTTCCCCACTCAACTTATCCGATGTACAAGAAATTGCTGCATAGCAAACAATTTAGGGTAAGGGTATACCACAACTAGAAAACAGTATATATCATACTAACAAATAACTTGTGCACATGCATGCACACGTTCACACACACTCCTTATCCACACACAAGCCTGATGGACATTATGCCTAAGAGCAATAGGTTCTTGCTTTCAGTAGCAAGCATAAAGAGTTAAAAATTCACAGTTGGCATTTTTAAATAGAGCAAATTTCGTAATGCTTCCAGTAACAAGAAGGCACCTCCCTCAAAGTAACCCTCCACCCCCAAGAAAGAAAATATAAAGGTAATGCAAGAAATTTAAATCTTGGTGGTTTACTGATGTTCAATTATTAAGTGTTACATTACCAAGCCTCAAGTCCCATCAAATGGGATCGGCTATATGAATCCTTCTTCTCCACTCAACTCTATCAAACTCTATCAAAGGCCATTTGGTTGGTCAAATTAAAGAGATTCATATCTCTATTTATTACACTAGTCCACGATAATCTAGGTCTACCCCTTCCCCTCACACTTTCCTCCACCGTCACTGTATCGCATCTCTTCACTACTGGCTCTATTGGTCTCCATTGTATATGACCAAACCATCTTAATCTATTCTCTCTCAACTTATCTTCTACAGTGCTACTCCTACCCATTCACGAATGTACTCATTCGTAATTCTGTCTTTTCTAGTTTTACCACTCATCCACCTTAGCACCCCCATCTTAACAACACTCATCTTATCTACATATTATTTCTTAGTTGCCCAACATTCCGTCCTATACATCGCTGGTCTCATAACCGTTTTGTAGAACTTTCTTTTTAATCTAGTGAGCACTCGTTTATCACACAGTAACCCAAACACAGTCCTTCACTTTAGCCATCCCGCCTTAATTCTATAGATCACATCTTCTCAAACCTCCCCAGCCGTTGTGATAATTGATCCTAAATAACAAAAATGTTCACTCTTAGACAGTTCTTAATTCTCAATCTTTACTTCTCTATTTTTATTGTTACTATTACTAAAATTACATTACATGTACTTTTAGTTTTGCTTATCCAAAATCCTTCAGATTCAAATGCTTCTTCCCATGTCTCTAACTTAGTGTTAACTCATTCTCTAATCTCATCCACTAACACGATATCATCTGCAAAAAGCATACACTATGGCACATCGTCCTAAATATTTCTCGTCAACTCATCCCCAACTAATGCAAAAAGACAAAGACTTAAGGTTGAGAAATTTAACTAAAAAGAAATTTAGTTAATCACTGGGGAAACAAATATCATAAGCATCCAACACTCAAATCATTTCAGTCTAATACATGAAACCAAGTTAAGTCGTGATCATCATATAAATTAGTAAACACATCAGTTGTATAATGCTATAAACTTGTAACATGTAGTTGCGTTGCACAATTCAAAACAACTTGAACAAGAAATCACAAAATGTTTTTCGGATTTGGGACATAATTTTCTTCTCGTAGATGGGAATGGATTAGTTCAATTGTGAGGCTAACAATGATTCCATGTTTTTATTTCAACAATTATCTTATTCTTCATACAAGTCAAACCACTACTTTGCTGAACTGATAAAATGTCTCCAAAATCCTACAAATAGAGGACTGTAAAGGTCAATCACGCAAAGCACTTTCTTAGAATTCTACAATTGGCAAAATTTGATTATCCATCCATAATACGAATTAGCTTGCTTGTTTTTGGTTTTCCAAAAACACTTTTCAAAAAATTTTACTTTTTTATTTTTCCTTTTTTTTTTTTACTAAATTTTTTTAATATTTTAAGCAATTTTTTAAATTTTTAGACACACCTAACATAAACACACATAAAAATGATAATTTTTCTGAATTTTTTTAAAAAAAATTCACTAAATACCAAAAATACAAATATATATATATATATATACGAGAATTCCGTATATTTTTCTTATTTTATGTATTTATTAATTTTTTAAAATATTTTTTCACAAATTTTTACTTTTTAGATACATCTAAGTACGGTGCATCTAAAAAATAAAAAAAAAAAGCTTAAAAATTTAAAAATACTCACTAAAAACAAAAAAAAAATACGAAAAACAAAAAACAAAAAACTTAGGCCTTGTTTGTCACAATCTAAAAAAGTAAAAAATACAAAAAGTCTCAATCCTATTTAAGTCACATCATCTTGTTTAAGTTACATCACATTTCTACCACATCACTTCAAACCCAACCTATACCCAACCCATATTTCATAAAAAGTTAAAAAATGCACTTATTTAGATCATCCTAAACCACCCCTTAATCCAAAAAACTCAAACCAAACATAGTGAATGTATTTCCATTTCATGCTCCTGCCATTGAAATCAACAAAAATCCAGATTTACACAAGCAGCAATATAAAAGATCCCAAGTATTAAGAAGTTACATGGAATTTCGACAATCCCACTGCTATCATCAGCATATTCCAGCTCCTCATCACTATCTTGCTTGGTTGGCTGTTGAAGTAATGATACCTTTGAGTAAGCAGGAACAACAAATTGTTGTCCTATTACAACCTGAAAGGCAGGAAGATCATGATATGACTTATAAAACTAAGGTTGGACAAGCAAGCATAGTTTTGAACTTTACATCTTAAATTAACCAAAACAGTGAAATTCCTTTCTAATTTTTGTTTTAAAAAAAAAAAGAGCAAGTATGTATGATTTTGAATTTTTGTGTGAATTTCTATTTGAAAATCCCAAGCAAAAATAAGATTTGAGCATACGAGCATAACAAGTACACGAGGAAAAGACTAAACACAAACAGGTTTACTTTAAATTGTAAATTTGAATTATCTATCTAAAAGCTTTAGTTTGATAAATATGTATAGGGCCTAATTCTTCTAAAAACCAATCCATTAAAAGCTAAATCATTTATATGAACATACTAAATTTCAAATACCTTTATTAAATATTTATCTTCACTCAATCACTCTCTTGAAGTCTCATAACATAAAAAACAGCAGCTCTACACCACAAAAGTAGGTGCAATTGTGAAGTTGTTTGAATAGATAGACGGTTTACTTTGTTCTTCTCTGCAGTGGTTGAATGTTTAACCATCATTCATCCAGCATACCCTCAGTTCATAAGAAACACCTCAATAAATTCACATGGTACATCAACCTGATACCTGACTATGTAATCTTTGGTTAGTCTAGCCTTTCCTAATCCTTTTTTTTATTTTTATTTAGTAGGCAATTTAAAAACTTCTATTAATAAATTAAAATGGAACAATACCAGGTAAAACAGAGAACAAGAAGTCCACCAAAAATACAAAAATACAATAAACAATAAAAATATTACAAATTACACACTGACCTTCAATCCCTACAAATCAAAAAAATTTAAAAAAATGAATCCCTTGAAAAGATTTAGAGACTTAAGCCCATACAAAAGAAAAATGACAAATCTTATCCTATATCCTCAAATTTGTCAAAAAAATTGTGTTCCTTTCTAACCAAATCTCCCAAAATATGGTGAAAGGGTCACAATCCAAAGAACTCGAGCTTTCCTCTTGGTGCAAAATCCCCTATAGATATAATAACTACTTATGTTATATATCACATACAATAAATATATAAATTATATATTTTGTGTCCCCACGTGTCATGTCCTATAATTTTTTGAAAATGTTCATGCCGGAATGTTCATGTCCTGTGCTTCTTAGTCTGAAGGGAAACACAAACAAGAACAAAACTCCAAGGATTGTCACCTTCTATTGCCTACCAAACTAGTATTTGGCCTCCAGGAGCTTGTATTTGCACATCACCCATTTCTCAGTTCACACCATTTTTTTCATTCAAATATCAACTACTGAACAAAAACTCATGGTCAGAATATCAAGTATCAGCATAAAACTATACCCATATTCCTTCAACCTAATTACCATAGCACGTAAAAAAAAGAAAACACCCAAACCAGGTCCTAAATAGCCCCCAAACTATTTCCTTTCATTCGTGAAGCTTTGCCCTTTTGTTATTGGGCTTGCACCTTAAAATTCTACATGATTTATACAAGCTTTTGGCTGCATAAACTAGTAAATTCAGCCCTAAAACTAGAGTCTTCTCCTGCTCTGCATCTTATTAAATTTGGGCTTCAACTCATGTCTCCCTCACTCGTCCTACATCTTGTATATTTGGGTCATGGATAAGCCAAATACATCTTTTTTTTTTTTTTTGGATTTTTGGACTCTATGAGCCTTGAGGTGATGAGTGCCAAAATGCAAAACTTTTGGACCACTGTCAAACTAGAAAAGCTAATACCTTTAGTAATTAGGTTCAAGGAAGCCTGCTTCAAACCAAAAGGCACTTATGTGTGAAAACTGTAAAGGGTTTCATAGAGTGGTAACGAGGGTCATATCAATTTCAACTTGGAGTAGAGCATTTGCAAAGGTTAGGAAATATGGAATGACATGTAGGGTAAAAAGGGCTAGTAATACTTTAGCTCAATAGCAGGCCCAATAGCATTGGCCAGACATCCCAGCTTCTATAAGACTGCATATCTAGTCTAACTTCACTTTTAATGTTCCAAAATCGCACGTAAGGGTACATTATCCGCTCAGGAATCATTAATTTTGACTGAATTATCTTCAATGACACATCAAAATAAGTCCCTAAATTTCATTACAGTTTTCTTATTTATAAGATTTGTAAGTAAAAGTTAGTCTACTTTGAGATATATCTTTGAGTCTGACCAAAGTATGCAAATCTTAAAAAATAAACAAAAGTTTTTCAACCAAATTTCTAAACTTATCCCAACAAAATTAGAAACATGGGGTAAATGGAATTTTGGCTATTACATAATTAAACAAACCTTGAAAGACAAAACTACACCAGGTTCCAAAACTGCTCCAGACTTCATTATCACACCATCACATACTATGGCATGTCTTATTGTACAGCCATCTTCGATGGTGACATTCTGCCATATATAGGAACCCTCTATTGCAACATTTGATCCAATATTACACCCTTCCCCCACAACTGAATTTGAAATTTTTGTGTTGTTCCCAATAGTAGTGCCATTTCCAATTACTGTAAAAGGACCAATTTGTGCAGAACGTGATTGCACTATCCCTGAAGAAAATCAAAGTCAAGAAAACTGTAAATAAATACTTTTAGAGAACTAGCATCAGTTTGTCAGTTTATAAGTATGGATGCTATGCGACAGAGAAGTGTAGTGAACATCGTTGCCCAGATGCAATTAGTGACATATTAAGAGATCAAAAAATGAAGTAGGCCATTATTCATAGGGATATTTGGCCAAAGTCCCTCATTGGTCCCCTTTAAAATGAAAAGGATAGTCCAAACTTTTTTTTAATTTGAAAGCTCCTTAGAGAAGAAGCGCCTCTTTCATCAAGGACAAACAAATTTGTTTCCATTTTTTTATAGACAATCTTTCCCTTGGTAATTACTTTTATATTTCAAACTTTAAAATGATATAGCTTTTGATCTATATATTGGTTTTTAATAAAATTAATCACTATGTTTGGTTGTTGTTTTTCAAACTCAATTTTTTGAAAATTTTAGAGTATTTGATTGGTTATTCCGAAAATTGAGTTCACTTTTCAAAATGATATGTTGATGATTTTAAGGAGAGACAATTCTGAATATATATATGTTGAGGACTTTTCGAATTGAAGTTTCCCTCCAATTTAAGGAGAGAGACAATTTTGAAAGAAAAAAAAAAATTGTCACATGAAAAAGTACTCTCATCTTATATATATATATATACATGCTATATATGTATAAAAACATAATTTGGTATGTAGCCATTATGGGTACATATCCTACCATTAAATGTAGGACTTTATCATAAAATTTCCACTCATTTCAACCACAGAAAACGTAAAAAAAAATTTCCAAATTGGCATTAAAAAATTTCTTTCATAGAATTAAATTTTCATAAATGTTATGCAGAAAATTTTGTCAATCGTAAATTTAAACATAAATCTACAATTTTGTAAGTAAATTTAAACATAAATTTACAATTTTGTAAATAAATTTGTAAACAACTTTACGATTTTTTTAATAAATTTAAACATAAATTTACAAAAACAATTTAATACCAATTTGTAAAAAAAATTATGTTTTCCAAAAATTACGGGTATGTTTGGTTTGGTTTTGAGAAAGTAGTTTTTAAAAATTGTTTTGGGGAGAGAGTTTAAATTTTTTTTTGATTTGTTTGGTTGTGTATTTTGAAAGTAGTTTTGGAGTTTGGGAGTGTGGAATGATTTGATATTTTATTGTAATTGAGTAGATGTGTGTGAGAGAAAAAGTAATTGAGAAGGAGAGATGAGAGAGAAAAAGTGATTGATTGATGTATAAGAGAGAGAGTGATTTTGGAGATTGTTTTGAAAAAATTACAAACCAAACAAGTTTTTTAGAAAAAATTTTACAAAATCACTCTACAAAGCCAAACCAAACATACCCTACGTTTTCCACAAATTTGTAAAAAATTACGTTTTTCGCAAATTTGTAAATAAATTTACGTTTTCCGAAAATTTGTAAATAAATTTCCAAAAATTACTATTTTTTTTAATGCGAATTGGTAAATAAATTTTCTGCATAACATTTATGAAAAAGAAATTTTTTAATGCCAATTTGAAAAAAAAAAAATTTACGTTTTCTGTGGTTGATATGAGTGAAAATTTTATGATAAAGTCACACAATTAATGGTAGGATATGTACCCATAAATGGGTTGGGTACATACCAAATTATGTTTTCATACATATATATATATATATAACTAAGATGAGAGTATTTTTTGATGTGACAATTTTTTTTTTTTAAATTGCCTCTCCTTAAATTGGAGGAAAACTTGAAATTGCAATGATGCATTTTTTGAAAACCAAACAAAGATTCTTTTTTAAAACAGAGTTTTCAAATCACTTTTTGAAAAAAAAAATTCAAAAAAATAGAACCAAACATAGTGAATAGTTTTAGAATTCTCTTGTCAAGATCTCTTAAACAAAATCCATGTTGGCTATGAAATTCTTTTAAAAAAAAATCATCATTTTTTTTCTTATTGAAACTAACGTAAGTAGTAAAATTTTACTATGAAATAGAGTAAACTTTTACTGTTTACGTCAATTACGACGGTATTTTTTTTTAAGAATTTCATAGTGAACCTGAATCTCATTTGATAGATCTTGATGAGAGGGTTCTAAAAATACTAATTTTATTAAAAATCAACATCTAAATCAAAAGTTATATCATTTTAAAGTTTAAAATATTGAGTTAGTCACTAAGGATATTTTAGTAATAGTGGTGTGTGCTTGACTTTTCAATAAAAACTTTTCGTGATTGTCCTTAATGCATTAAAGTTTTGTTATGAGAGGGCTTTGACCAAATCCCCCTTATTCATAATGTAATCATATCATTATACTACTAAGTTTCATCACTCAAGTAAAATTTTAAAAGTGGGAAAAAATATTAGCAAATAATTTTCCTAAAATACAAATTTCCCCCTTAGGTTTTGAAAAGTACATTCCATCCCTTTGAAGTTTCAAATCGCATGACAAATACCCTCTTTTGTTAGTCAACCGTTAGGTCAACTAACTGATTTTGCTAATGTCACTAATTTCATTTATTAAAATACCTATTTAACCCTCAATACTTTTTCTTTACACCCAAAAAAAAAAAGAAAAAAAAAAGAAAAAAGAACCAAAAAAAATGGATGGGTAGGTAATGAGGCAGCGATGGAAGGGAAGGAGAGCGGTTTGGGGAGTTGGTGGAGGTGAGGTAATGAGGCAGCGATGGCCATTGTGTTGGTTCCAGAGAGGAAGAACAGAAAAAAAATGAAGGAAAAAAGAAGAGGAGAGTGAGGATGAAGAAGATGAGGGTAGTAGAATCATGGGTAAATTACCAATAGGTCCTACTTTTGGAACTTATTACCCATTACCCATTACGTCATATTGATAAATTTATCATTTTCTCTTATTTTTTATGAATAAATTTACGGTGATAAATTCATCAATAAGATTTGACACTGTTAAAAGTCAATCTCTAATTAGAGGGTATTTGTAATTTCTCAAACTAGAGAGAGGAATTTGTATTTTAGACAAACCTTGAAGGGGTGTATTTGTAATTTATCCTGAATAAAATATTGAAACAATCAAATACATAGGAGAGGATAACTAGAACTGAAAATGCATTTAGCTCCTCCAGAAACCCCCAACATATTGTATAAGGAATCTCTATTCTATTTCATTTACTTTATAAGCAAACAATTAAATAGAAGGCAGAGCAATAAATTCAAGTGATAAGATTATTTTTCTTCGCTTATTGAGAGAGAGAGAGAGAACCAAGAGTTTACTATAGGGAAACACATAAGTAGTTTGGGAAATTGCTTTTATGATCCTTACCTGATGATCGGTACATGCCCTGCCTTTCAAGTTTAGCTGCATTATTCCCAAAAAATTGGACATCTGGAACGAATGGGTATGTCCATCTTTGAATAATATCCTTGCTAACAGTGTCATAGCTTCGAAAGTTGTCAATTCTAGCCGCATAACTAGAGTAAATTTCATGGGTGAAAATTTTGTAACCCATTATCTGAAAGCATAAGATGATAGTCGACATATATCAAGAGGGAAAAAAAATATCAAAAACAATATTAAAAAAAAAAAAAGGGTGAGCAAATTAGAGACCAAAAATGCAAGTGGTCCAATAGAATGTTTGGATTTTATTTTACTTTTTATAAAGTGCAAATTTTATAAGAAAGGAAAGCACCACAAAAGGGGATGCACCTTGTAAACACAACATATACAAAAGCAAAAATATCTCCTCCTATGTAACAGGAAGAATGTAGAACACCCACAAGCAATCAATAAAATCACACGAGGAAAAAGAAAACTGCTCCCTAGGCCAAAAAAATAAGGAGACAATGACCTTCCCTTCTAGGCAAAAAATGAAGTCCCAATTTTTTCAAAAGATCTTTTGTTACTCTTGTTCCACAAGCACCAATAAAAAAAGTGAGGCAACTTCCCACGTCTTCCTAAACTTTACTCTCGGACAACCTCTGTTCCAAGAAGTAAACAATTCTCTAATTGAACTAGGCACCACCCACTCCACATCAAAAACTGAGAACACCAAACTCCACCTCACTCACAAAATGGCAATGCAATATTAGATGATTCGCACTCTCCCCTCCCTCTTACAATGCAACATCAATCCAGTAAGAACTTGCCCCCTCCTCAAGTTAACTGTAGTCAATATAGCCTCTCTAGACACTTCCCAAGCAAAGAAAGTCACCTCTAGGGATTTGTCCTCCAAATCCCCTACAAAGGAAAGCCAACATCCCCTCCTTTAACCATCTTCCAATAAAAGGAAGACACTGAAAACATGCCGCTCCCAGCCCCTTTCCAAACTAAGATATCCTCCACTCTTGGTTGAACTCGCTTACCCTGATTCGTGCCAAGGAAACCCCCCCACAAATTTCACCTCCCATACCTAAGGGGTCTCCTGAAAATGGGTGTCCAAACTACGCCCGTAGGTTTAGTTTAATACTCTGCCACTGAGCCTTCTGGATTAGACGCCATTCAAAAGAGGTTTATAAAAAAAAACCTCCCTCAAAGGAAGACGCATGCATTCAGAAGAACCAACTAGAACACGAAAGGAAGAAGGTTGAAAAGAATGCATGTTACAAATTTAATTGAATATAATTCAATATTTTAACACTTCTAGTGCCTTCTCTGAGTTACAAATTTTATTCTTCTTCCTTTGTTGAAGGTTGAAAGAATGCATTATTTTTTTACGGAGGCAATGCAGGTCAACCTTTTAAACAAGTAACCCTTTTAAAGCAACAAGAAAACACATTACACATGCCAAATATATTTTGTTTCTTATGATTACCAACCTGCTCCTTAATCATTTAGATAAAGAAGACTCTGAAGCACGTCCACATTTATTAGGTAATTAACTTTAGTGAATTCTTGGCACTTAGGCATTGCAGTCTCTAAAAGAACCAAAATTCTAGCTTTCTTAATGCAGGCTGCTAGAGTAAGTGCCATGAAAGTACAATTTGCAGCACTTTCAAGAGTGTTCAGGCAAACTACAATGCTAAGTTCAGTCATATCCAGATGGATAGCAATTCTTTTGTGGCTAGGTGATTATTTAGACCCTTGACTCGCATCTTGGCATTTGAGACAGGCATAGAAGAATTTCCATTCGCCTTAGGAGTAAGGACAAGTGTTACATCAGGTGTTTAGAAAAGCGAACCTTAAAGATGGTTTTTTGGTACAAGGAAAAAGATCCAGCTTTTGACTCTTTTAGAAGCCACCAAACTTCCCCATGCAATCTAGTCTCATAGTTGTTTAATAATTTGAGGCAGTATTTCTGTTTCTTGCTTTAGAACATGGTTCCTTTGGTTTTTCCCACTTTTTTACTTTTTAGGTTTGCAACCCTAGGCCTTCTGGTGCTGTTTTCCTCAATGACAAATTCATCATCCTTCAGCATTGCACATTTTTTTTCTTCAATAAAGTAGTCCTATTGTTGCTCATCACAAAAATATATAAAGGGCATCCAAGTGCACAAAGCTCTAGCCACAGCAGGTCTAGGAATGGTCAAATGTATGCAGCCTTAGACTGTGTGCAGAGAGAGATTGTTTTCGTTTTTTAAACCTATGACCCGCAAGTCACAATGAAGCAACCTTACTATTGTGCCAAGGCCAGCCCCTATCTAAAAATACAATAAAAATTAGAATAGTGATACAAAGAAAACTTAATGACTTTGTATGAAGTTGGCTTTAAATTCATTGAGGATAATTTTATTGCAGAGAAATCCATCTTTTCAGCTACAGTTATTAGCCCCAATCCAACTAAACATCCTTCACCTAACTAAAAACAGGATCGAACCACTCTATCAATCTATCCATTCATTTTAAATCCGTTGTAGTAACTATAATTGAAGTCACTTCAGAATATATAATTTTTTATTTTCGGCAAGTATTTCCAAAAACATATATACACATAACGAAAATTTGATAGAACCAAGACAGGATTGGAAGTTATGAGTAACTCATAACGAAAAGAGAGAAAAAGAAAATCATTCATTAACAAACTCCTCAATAAGAAGAGAGATTAGGTAAACAACATGAGTTGACTTCAACAGAGTTCTTGAAGCTAAGTTCAGACATTGTTTCAAGGTGTTCCACATCAATGCATTCTACAATAACTAAAATTAGAGCTTAATGAGAACATGAGATAACATTTAGACTAACATGCTTAATGGAAGACATTGACAACACTAAACAATTGGAAGATGAGGACAAATAAAGAAGAAAATAAGCCAGCTAGAATCCAGACACCCAAGTCTTACGCAAGTTCAGGAAAGCACAAATAGATTAGAGTTCATACACACACACACACTACACATTTGTGAATGCATAATTGAAAATGAATATACATGTAAAAAAATGTATACATTCTTATATGTTTATATAGAAACAGCATTCAAATGGCAGACGCTAAAGACTTATGACAAAGTTTTTAAGTTGAGTTGTGTCCATATTATATATATATATATAGAGAGAGAGAGAGAGAGAGAGAAAGAATATCTTTTCGCAATCTAAAGATGTACAATGTCCAAGACATACATCATCGACAAGCAATCCCTTAACAAAATGACGGCGCAGATGTTGATAGTCAAAATTGTCGGTACAACACATTTGTGAATGCATAATTGAAAATGAATATACATGTAAAAAAATATATACATTCTTATATGTTTATATAGAAACAGCATTCAAATGGCAGACGCTAAAGACTTACGACAAAGTTTTTAAGTTGAGTTGTGTCCATATTATATATATATATATAGAGAGAGAGAGAGAGAGAGAGAAAGAATATCTTTTCGCAATCTAAAGATGTACAATGTCCAAGACATACATCATCGACAAGCAATCCCTTAACAAAATGACGGCGCAGATGTTGATAGTCAAAATTGTCGGTAAAAAGACTCAGAACTTCTGGAGAGCAGATGTCAATATAACAATCCTGCAAAGAGCAATTTCACAGATTAGGTGACTAGTATTTGAGTTCAATATAATGTGCAGGAAGAATGACAATGAGTTTGTGCATGCTGTACACAGATTGGAGAACCAATTTCAGGTCATGATTTTCTTCATACTTTGCTTTTGGTTTTGGTGGACTTCTTGTCCCTCTTGTACTTTGTGTTTCGCTTTCTTCTTTTTAGTTAAACTTTCTTTGTTGTCCATCAAAAAATAATAATAGTTCTTGTTTCAATAAGATCAACACTTGGTAATTATGTTTTAATCACCATTGCCATTAATATTTGAATTTGAAATTAGTATATAAATAAACTATAAAATAAAATATTTAAGCTGAAATTTTCTATTATTACAATATCATTCATGTTTTGAATAATTAGCTTTGTCTACTTGTTACTGAGTGGATCAATATGTATTGTCATTGGACTCTCTTCCATGCTTAAAGTTTGATCTACATGTGAATGATGGCACCATACCCTGCCCACCATTTGAGGGTATTCCATTCCAAAAGGAAAGAGATTGCTGTTGTCGATGCCAACTCTGAAAATTATGCAGAATGGCAACAGGATGCCCATTCCCACCCTCAATTTTGACAACCAAACATGCATTTGAAGTGATAACTCATTATGACACGAGCCATTTTTTTGCACTCTACTTCTCTAGACAACCCAACTAAGAAGCACAAACACTTCTAAGAAGGTGACGTATCCGTGTCGTGTCCGTGTCGGACACCGACACTCTTTGGACACTTCTCCGACATGTGTCCGACACTCTTCAAAACTTGTCCTATTTTTTAATGTTTTTTAAAGACCTAGACACTCTTTGGACACTTAGAGTTGGAGGACACAAGTGTTTGTCGCTTAAACACACATGTCTATCGATTAGACACAAGTGAAACTAATTATAAGTTTGAACTAAACAACTTAAAATACAATAATAAAACAAAAACCATATAAATTTATAGAAGTTAGTGTCATATTGCAATTTTTTATTATCTTTGAATGATATATTCATATATATAACAAATAATAAATATATAAAATTATATACTTTATGCGTGTTCCCCGCGCATCGTGTCCTACATTTCTTGAAAATTGGTGCGTCGGCGTATCCATGGCGTGTTACGTGTCCGTATCCATGCTTCTTAGCAACCCAATCAATTTAACTCAACTAAACCAAAGACACAAAATTCAAGATCATTACTCAAGCCCAAATTGGGCTTGGGTTTACTCAGGTTGAGTTTTTTTTTTTTGGATCAGAAACAAAATAATTTTTTTAAACAAGAAAAAAACATTTTCTTATTATGTTTGAGCACATGTTGACCACCATCCAACCCAACTCACCCAAATTGCAACCTTGTGAATCATTCAGTAATAGGTCAGCTAATACCACATTATTTAATTTAGAAAAAAAATGTACATATTAATTAAATCGAAACATATACGACACAATCATGTCAGCCATAATATCATAGGACAAAGAAACAAATTGCATACTTGTTTATCAGCTATAATTTATAAACATGCAAATTCTAAGATGCTAAAAATTGACAACTAGAAAGTATGAACATCAAAGAAACGCATATACGGATACGGACATGGATACGGGACACGGCAATTTCCAAAAAATCAAGACATACGCACAACTAGGAAATGTCAAAAACATATTATTTATATATTTTTATTTGCTATATATATGAATATCACACCAACAAACCACAAAAAATAATGAAAAATTAACTCAACATGAAAAAATTTATTTTTTAAAAAAAAAACTCTAAACATCACTCAACATACAAAATATGATTTTGTCAATCACAAATCAATACATAACAAATGTCAAAAGCATTTAATTTAATAATGAATAGATCATCCATCAAAAATAAATAATTAGTCAAACGTCTCCTAGGGCGTGTTCAGAGGCCGGACACATGTCTGTGAAGTATCCCCAACATGTGCAACAAAGAATAGATAATAGAAAGAAGAAAAAAAATACACACCATGTGGCATGACCGACACATGTTGTGGCGTGTTGGTGTCCAACACGTGTAGAACAAGGCTATGGCGACTAATTGGAAGTGTTAGTGCTTCATAGATGAAAGTGTAAGCATGTTAACTGCATCATTGCTTTCATTATTTCACAATTATTCGCAAAATCACCAACCAAAGTTGGAAAAAGGTTAGTATATTGGAAAGATAAGCACTCCAAGCACACGAGGGCAGAACTCGTCACGAACAGAAAAGAAGGCAATTATAACCAAACCAGAAAACTCAGGAAAGACAAAAAAAACCTGTTTGTCATTGTGCAGAGAAACAGAAGGATTATCCGCAAGTAACATCTTATCAAGAGTTATTGACCCTTTTAAATGGTCAGCCTTATCCTCATAATATAAAAGCTGCTTTGTTTCAGGATCAATGGCCATAAACAGCTCATCAGTACCGAGCCGAGATTGGTGAGTAAGCGGCGAAGGCTTTGACTTTTTTATAACCATAGTCATTACAGCATTGCTATTTTTTTTCCTTCTCTCCTTGTGTTCTTCAAGTGCTTGTGTGAGTGACATGTTGCTCAATGTATCTCCACTTATAAGGATGAAATCTTCATATATCTTCAGAAGCAAAATCAGAAAGATGAGATTGTAACAGTATAAAACAAATTAGAAACGATAAACGGTTGAGGGAAAAAAAAAGAAAAAATACTTTGAGATAAAAATATCAGTAGCAAGGAAGGTAATGCACGTGTTAACTAAAGTTACAACCCTAAACATAATGCAATGGTATTCTAGTTGTGCTGGTAGGTGATGGATTGCATGTGATTTGATATTCTGAGGTTCACTATTGTAGAAGAAAATGTGTAATATTAGTGAAGGTTTATATGTTTTATTTTCATTTTGTTTAAAGGGATATAAATCATTTTAGACTTAAATGTGTTGGATAAGGTAAATTTTGGCATTTTAAAATATCAAAACGGTGACATTACCTTCTTTGTCAATCTCATTCATCAGCCATTAACAATGTCGAGGTCCCAGCATATTCTCAATTTAAGGGGGTGCAAAGTTATTGCACAAAAGGGAAGGTCCTTAAAACTGTCATAAACCTGAAGGAGAATTTTTCGAATTCCAACAAGTGATGTTTCATCAGAATTACGCCATCCCACACAAATGCATTCCCGCAAAGTTATTTTTACCATCTCTCAGGCAATTACAATTATCCGACATAGGATCATTATTTCACTTCCTTTTCTCTTGGCAATCATTATTCAATTTTTTAAAAAAAAGAAAAGAGAAAAAAGAAAATCCAAACATTAAGGCCTTGTTTAGTTTGCTTTTGAGAACAAAACATCAAATCATCCCAAACTCCCATACTCCAAAACTATTTCCAAAATATACAACCAAACAAATCAAAAAAAATTCTAAACTCTCCCCAAAATCTTTTTTAAAAATTTATCTCCCAAAACCAAACCAAACACACTGTAAAACTCCAAGAAGATTGCCTTCAAAAATTCCTTTTGAGAAGTAACATTTGGACAAAGGGTTTTTTTAATTTTATTTTGATTTTTGAGAAGAGAGACCAAATTCTTTGTCTCAATTGGAAAAAGGGTTCCCCCCCCCCCCTTTTGATAAGTAACATTTGTAATGTCACATCTAGAACATTAAAACCCCTAAAAAAGAAACAAGAAACTATGTTCACTTTTCTGATAGAATTTTTAAACCAAAACTACTGATGGAATGCCCCAAAAGAACTAAAAAATGAAAATGAATAACTACGAGGAGAGATCTTGACATACCACATTCTGCTCATAAATCAAACGCAATGCATCTCCAGCACTAACAGAATTGTGAGATTCTATTGTCTTGATCGTAAAGTTTGGTTGACCGAACCACTTGGAATTATTTAAATAATCAATCACTTGCCTGGAATGAGCACAGCAAAAGACAAAAACTTCTTCAACACCAGCTGATTCAAGCCATGCTAAGGTGTAATCAATCATAGGGATGTTGACCAATGGTAATAGTACCTTCAATGGCAAAAATTGTATGTCAATGAAGAATTGGCATTATAAGAAAGATTACCATCAACAGGAATAAACAAGTCCAAAAGAATGCATTGTTAATACCACATGTCAATCTAATCAACCATAGGGGTGTCCACAAATGCAAATGGTACCTTCAACACGGAAAAACAGTCAAGTAACGCAATAATTGTCGCCACAAAATGATAAAAGTTTTTAAACATGAATTGCAATATTCAAAAAAGTCAAGTATGCATCCTTGATTTTATTCTTTTTTTTTTTGGGGGGGGGATAAGCACACTGGTATGCATCCTTAATTGCACATGCCAATGCCTGGTATATCTCCAAAATCTTAATAAAATGAACATCTTTGTGCAAGTTCTATTTTATTATCAGTGCAGATGAGTTGCATAAGTTGACGCCAAATATCAACTAAAAAATGTACCAATATGCTATAACTTTGATTGACAAAAGATGCTCAACCGGATGGATCTGTTACGTTTATATGGGTAAGCATCGTTTTCCATTGCTTGTCTTCAGATCCTAATGTTGTGTTTGGTTCATGGATTTGGATAGGGATTTGGGAAGTGAAGGAGAAAAGGTATGTGAAATATAGGTGAGATGTGGCTATATTTCATTCACATTTCACCTACCTTTCCCCTTTCTTTTTCCAAATCCCTACCCAAATCCATGAACCAAACAAAGCCCAAAAGTTGCTTCTAAGCTGATACAAGGAACCAAAATATCTACATTTGTAAGGAAGGAAGAAACAAAATTTAAAAAATTAAACGAGAAAACAAAATTGGTAAAAATATCAGAAGGAATAAGGTAGTATAATTTTCCAAAACTAGAGTAAAAATAAGTGAAATTTCACCATAATATGAGCGCCACCATGAAAATAAATAGCTTAAAATTCTTGAATAAATTTGCCACACACAAATTTAAGCAATACCAGCATAATTAGCAACAGTAAACAATTCTTCAATTATTTAAGAAATAATGTTGGAAAATTCTACAAACCCATTACTTACTACAATTTTTCTATTCATTAAAAGACCTAAAAGAAAATTGATTAAATCAGAGCTCAACATCACTATCCAAAAATTACAATCACAATCACAATGGTATAGTAATAGTTCAACACAACTCTGCATATACAGATATACATACATACATATATATATGTATATGTAGAGAGAGAGAGAGAGAGATTACTTTGGGGCGCTCGAGGGTGATGGGGCGGAACTTCTGGGCGAAGCTATCGGCCAAGAGGACGGCCCGTAAGGGTGCTCGAGCCAACTCTTCTTCTGCATCTTCAGAAACCCTACTTGCTCCCTTCTTCTGTACCATTGCTGTGCTAGCTTCTTCTTCTTCACCTCTCTCTCTCTCTCTCTCTCTGTCTCTATAAGACCCTCTTCGTCAATGGAAGTGGATGGGAGGGTTTAAAATGGTGTACCCGAATCGGATTCGAATGTGGTTGGTTGGTCCGACCGAATCCAACTCCACCCCTTCCTTTTCCTTATTCCGATAAATAAAAGTTCGGAGACATTATAATAAAAGTTCGGAGACACTATAAATATACATCTTCAAATTTGTTTAAAATATGAATTATTTTTTATGATATGTAAAATTATAAATATTTTTCTATTAGAATTTATTATTTAACAAAATTAATTAAAAAAATAAAATTTTTAACTGCTCACTTATACAATGATAAAATTATCTAAATTATTAATTAAAATAAAATTTTAATATTATTAAAAATTATTAATTAACTTGATAATTTATTAATAAAACAACTTATTTGTTATGAAATTATAAATTTTAAGGGGCATAATGTAATTTTTCAAACCACGGGAGATAATTTGTAATTTAAATAAATCTCAGAATGTGTATTGGTAATTTATCCTTAAAGTTTTTATTTTATGAACAAATATGGGTCCAACTTGTCTCTTGTTAAGCTCAATAATGGACCCATCCAGTCCGCCCCATAGGCCCATTTTTTTGACTCGTTTTGATAATTCAAACCGTTTAATGTGGAGAATTCATTAAGTATTATATTCATGTAAAAAATAATGTTGATCGAATATCGATAGCTATTTGATCATATCATATTTGTATTAAAAAAATGAGCGATGAAAAAATAAACGTTTGACTAAATTATGATCTGATCAAGTAACTATTGATATCCGATTAACGTGATTTTTTATAGAAATTTAGTACACGACGACACATCGAATGATTCGGATTATTGAAACAGCGCCCATAAATGAGCCCATAAGGCGAATTGGATGAGTCCAGTCTTGATCTCAACATGAGATAAGCTAAACCCAAAAAATATATTTTTGGAACTATTAAATGTTTGTTTGGTTTTTTTTTAGAAAATTTATCCATAAATCCTATATGGAAAAATGTTGATTTGTTTTGTCTTAAGAGTTTTTTTATGAACCAATTAGTTCTTTTTGTTTTATAAAGTTTTATTTATTTGATTTGGTCGTTTATATGAATGTCTTTTTACGATTCATTTTTCTAATATTTTGATTTGTTTTTTGGATGGTAATAGCAAGGTGAGGTGAGGTGTGCAAGATTGTTTTTTGAAAGATTGGTGGTTGAAGTGTTGGTTATTAGACGTTGAAATTTATATTTTTGTTACTATGATTTTCTGGTATTACATTAAAATGTTACATTAAAGTGCTATGTTTAGAAAAAAGTACGCTAATAATTTTTTGTGTGTTACTTTGTTGGAGTGTTATGTTTGAAAAAAATACACTAAATAATTTTTTTAAAAATGTTATGTTGTTACATTTGATAAAAGTACACTAAGAAATTTATTAGTGTGTTACATTGGAGTGCTACGTTTGGGAAAAAAAATACGCAAATAATTTTTTTTTTGAAATGTTACATTATTATGTTTGAGAAAAGTACACTAAAGAGTTTTTTAGCATGTTACATTGGAGTGTTACGTTTGAAAAAAGTATACTAAGGAGTTTTTATGTGTTACATTGATTGGAGTGTTAGATTTGAGAAAAGTACACTACGGAATTTTTTAATGTATTACATTGGAGTGTTATATTTTTTTAGTATTATATTGAAATGTTACTTTGAAAAAAATACACTTAAGAGTTTTTTTTAAGGCCTTATTTATCATAACCTAAAAAAGCCAAAAAATCAAAAAATTACTATCTTATTTAAGTAACATTATCTTATTTAAGTCATATCATATCTCTACCATATCACTTCAAATCCAACCCATGTCTAACTCATATTATACACTCGTATATTTTTTATATTTTTGGTATTTAGTAAATTTTTTAAAGTTTTTTTCACAAATATTATAATTTTTAAATGTATTTATTTAAGTGTGTTTAAAAATTAATACAAATTGCTTAAAATATTAAAAAAAATAATTGAAAATAAAAAAATACAAAAAATAAAAAGTACAATTTTATGAAAAATATTTTTTGAAAACCAAAACTAAACAAGCTGAATTTACCAATAATATGTACTATTTAAGCGTTGTTTTATTAATATTATCTACCAAGTTTATATCGTGTCAAATAAACGTTTAACTAAAAATTATGTGGATGCGATCCCAATCAAGTGTTTGGTTATTCGGTTTGTATAGAGTTTATATATCATATCTCTCAAAAGGAAATTGTTAGTGAAAATTATGTTAATCTCAAGTCGACAGGATCAAATAATGATTTAAACAAGCAATCCACCCAAAGAGATTAAGCGACTATGTTTTTCATTCAAATATCTTGAAAGTATAAGGATTTCTTCGGAACAAATGATACAATCAACAAGATCAAACAAAGTAAGTCTTCATTTTGGAATAACTAAAATAGCTTATTTTTTTGGCTTTTTAGCCTCGTTTAGTTTTCGTTTTTGACTTTTGTAAGAGAAAAAGTATAATAATTATGATTTGGATGTGACATTTTATCTTATTGACATATGTAGCTAATTTTATCTTTTGTACTTTTTTAGTCAAAAAGCTAAAACCAAACATAACTTAAAGATGATTTTAAGATAAAATCACCAATATTTGCAAAGATTGCAAATTACAAAGAGAAATTCCTCCTACACTTAATATAAAACTATTCCTAAAATAAAACTAAAGTTGTTATTGCGTTGTTGATGATGTTCCTTTTACCATCAGTCTTCGGCCTCTTTGTAAGTTGTGGGCTTCAAACAAATCACAAGTAACTGCCTCGCCAGTTTGTTTCCACCCATGTGTCACACTATATGAAAATAATTTCTCCAATATTTATGCCCCACTTTGCCGCCATGTTCTAACCATTTCTTGCACCAACTGATAACAATAATATAATAATAATAATAATAATAATAATAATAATAATGTGGTCATAATTAATATTGAAAAGATGATGTATGGTCTGAATTAACAAATAAAAATCGACAGGTCACAATTAAAAAAATTATATTTGATCATAGTTGACAAGTCACAATCAATTAGACTAGATTTAACCATAATTGACAGATCACAATTGACAAAAATAATTTATGGTTCATTCCATTTTCGCTCTAAAGCAAGACTGAACTTCACAAGTACTACTATGTGTCCCTCATGAATTGTTGACCCATATTGACAAGCCATCTTACCATTTACAAGCACTAAATGTCTCCTAAAAATTGGCCTATCATTATTTAAAGGCCAAATTACAAACACCCCCTCGAAGTTTGGTGAAAATACAGATTCCTCCTGAGGTTTGAGAAATTACAAATTGCCCCTTGAAGGTCAAATTTGCATAACAAATTAGGGGAGAATCTGTATGAAAATAAAAACCTCATGGGGCAATTTGTTATGAAAATATAAACCTCAGGGGGTGGGATGTAATTTCTCAAACCTCAAGGGGGAATCTGTATTTTCACCAAATCTCGAGGGGGGTGTTTGTAATTTGCCCTTATTTCAACTACTTGTAATTGATCCACTGATTGCGGGTGATTTTATTTACACCAAAAACAATAACTTAGTAAGCCCAAATAAAGGGAAATTCTATTTTCACACACTTACCTACCTCTGTACACATACGTAATGATTTATTTTTTATTACAATTTTCTTCTAAATTAAAATTACTAAATTGTCTTTATCTTCTCCACCAAAATCCTAATTTCTTCCTCTCACACTTAAACGAATGGAAGTTAGAAGTACAATTTGCTTGGGCAATTCATCACTTGGTGACTATTGGTAACCATGGGACATATTTTGATAAATTATTGACAGCATGACTTCTATTAGTTGTAGTCAGCAAAATGAAATTGAAGTCCCATGCAAGTATCTTATGTCCTCGGGAAGCATCGTCCTGGTCTTTTCATGAGAATAGGCACTGTTTAATTAGATCCCTTTTAGTGTCTACATCATCTCCATACGACGAATCAAAATCTCCAGGCCGATCATAAGATCATGGCATCATAAAACTCTTTGCCCATAGTTGTCGTAGAAAGGAAGAGAAGATATTGTCCATTAACAAAGATATAATTTTGCTTGTGTGAAAATCCAATTTCTAATGGAAGAGTTGCAATTCAAAGGTTTCTTAATGTTTTCCCTCGAGATTAGTTTGAATTTAGTCTCCTGCATTCTTGTTAGGGAAATAATTCAAAGGTTTCTAATGGGTGTTGGTTTAGGGTTTCAATGTTAAAGAGAGGGATATTTTTGACAAAAAGAGTTGTGCATTGAATAAAATTATAACATTTAAAATTAGTTGATATGTGTATTGAGAAAGGATATGGAATAAGATGTTTTGGTGCATGGAAATAGAATTATTCCCAAATAAAATTTTAAAATCTTAATTCTTATTATACCCTAATGTAAATTTACTAATAAGGACAATACACATTAAATCCTAATATATATATATATATATATATATATTTCTCGTAGTACACCCAAATAACTTATGCATGTATTCTTTTTTTTTTTCCCCCAAGTTTCAAATATTTTACATTCTTCTCACTCCAAAATCCTAATACACTCCATCAAAATTCACAATTATCATCATTGTCATTGTTTGTTATTGTGTTATTACTTACAAATAAAACAAAAATACAATGTGGGTGTTTGAAAAGTTATTATTTTAGTAGGCTAAAATATTTTTGTTTGGAAAGATGTTTAGATTTTTTTACAATTGGATGTGAGGTTTGTGAGAGAAAAAGTGAAATGGTATGGATTTGATGTGACATTTTATCTTATTAGCTATTTTAATCTATTTTATCTTTTTGTGTACTTTATCCCAAAAAGCAAAAAAAATAGCATTTGTCAAACAAGGCCAATATGTGCCATTATATTTTCATTGAAAGCTTCTTAATTTTTCATGAAGCCAATCTTGTAAACATCTCTATGCCTCTGGTTTTCTTTGTTCTTTCTCTTTCTTGCCTTTTTATTTTCTACGCACCCTTGCTCCATATATTCAAATGTGACAATCACGTACATGATTGATTTTATATGCATTGTTATTTTCGAAAAAACTATCAAAACAACAATAATTTAAATAGTCTATAAATCATATC